CGGAATAGAAGACAGATCGGCTTTTCGGCTTGCCTTATTCAGTAGCAGGAGGAAATTTTTGTCCGCGCCTGCTCCCTGTAGAAGTGCGTGTTCATTAATCGCATTTTAGATTTCTCGGCTGTATAATTACCCCCACGCGACTCATTCTGTACCGCACCAATCCCTTCAACAATCAACAAATTTATGAGGTAGAGGGGAAGCGTAGTGCACAGGGCCCCACCCAATTTTGTGACAGTCCACGCCGCTTTGGGGGGAAAAGGGGCGAAAATATGCATATCATGAAGATTGATATGGTATTAAATCCTGTAAGTCAGTGGTTCTCAACCTTTGTGAGGCCGCGGTCCGCTAAATTCTTTTTCTTATAATTGAAGCCAAGGTCCGGTGGTTGAGAAATACTGTTCTGAATAATCGACAGATTAATTCCTTGGAACAGTGTTCTACATGAGAAGCTGTCTGTTTCATAGCTGGTCAAGAAGCTTCCCGTCTTTTATGGTTTATCTCAAATACAAGATGTCAATCGACAAGTCTCTTTTTTAAATGCAGTTTTCTTAGGCTTCCTTGGATACAACTGGCTTCCATCAGCATATGGTCTATTCTTGAAGTCGATTAATGGGTTTGAAGTAGACTAAACTTCATTGGTGATGGCCAATAGATCAAATAAAAGATAAACTAAATATTTAAATACGTTTCTCCTGCGCCTACGGAACACCAAACTGACGTAGCCTGTAGGAAGAACAAAGACAAAGTTGACCTGTTTTAACCTCCACGTAAGGCGGCGAAAAGGCATGAGCTTCAATCCAAGGTAAAGCTCTGACAACCGATGGATAGTGAGTTGGTCTTTTTCCAGCGCCGTTTTGCATTCAGTGGCGAAGCGGATGAAGATAATCCAGCCAGTTGACGGTCAACCCGGACTTGTCCAAAACCTTTTATCAGGATTATCCCCATAATTGAATCTAAGATAATTTAATTTTGATGACGTTCTTTATACCAAGCGAGATTTAATGACAAGAACATAAAATTTCTACCCTTCATCCGTCACACTAATATTATCTTCAAGTTCCTTGTTAGCAAGAGTCCGCTACTGGATCCTATTCTGAGGGTCATGAAACTTCATAACTTCGCAACCGAATTGTCTAAGGTCTAGGTTATATCGCTCATGTTTTTTTTTCCTTGGGGTATTCCAAGAAATATTTTATATATTTCTCACTTTATCAATGCGTGGTAGGGCCTATATGCCCCCACCCCATCCTTCTTGTTATCATCACGTGATATCTGTGACTGTAGACGGGGACTGGATTGGTAGTCGTATTTTCTGAACTACTTAACAACTCGTGACTACAACTGACAGTACATTACTTCACATAAATTAGTGTGCGGAGTCACGTCTTCACTGCCGTTGTTTGGTAGCGATTTCCAACGGCAGACTTGCCCCTTCATTTGGGTTCCCGCACTGCCCCGGCCTCAGCTACCGGCTTCTCACAGCAACTGCTCACAATGGCTGATACAGTGTCCAGTCACTCACTTTCTGCAACCGGATAGAAATCCCAACTATTCGTTTCACGACTTCCAACTCGAGAGTTTGTTCGAGGACCTCATATAACGTCTTCTTGCTTCCCAGACGTACCTCCTGTCTTCTGCTTCTACTCCTGATGCCGTTGCTGGTTGTCTTGCCGAATCCCCTACGGATACGTCTTTGCGCAATGCACGAATAGCACGGCGGGTCAACCGTCCTCGAGCAGCGGCCAACTTCTGCCGGGACCCACCATCGCCCTAGCTCCGTTTCTTCGGCCGTCCGCGGCGTCTTACGGCCAGACGCCGATCCCCAGACAAGTACATTAGAGCTCCAGGCCGTTTCTTAGTCCGTCCGCGGCCCTTTACGGCCAGACGCCGGCCCCCGGACCTGTACATTAGAGCTCCAATAATTTTCACTGCAACCGCAGTGGGACTTTCTCCTGCTCCTCTACAGTCCAATTTTCCTTCAGGATTTGCCTCAAAATACGTGGCCTCCACTTCTACCAGGAAAATCTTAATTTCGGCTTCCAGTCGTACCTGGTCCGTCTCGATCCTGGCCTCCGTCCTTTCTTGATAGGCCTCCATCGTTTCTTGGAGAGTCTTTACCTTTCGCCAGGAGTTCATATTGGCTTCCAACCTTTTCCGATGGGCGTCCATCTTGGCTATCGTCCGTTCTTGGCTGACTTCTATATCAGCCATGATGGTTAGCAGGCATTGCAGCATTGACCCTGTCATTTTTTCCATTTTTGCAGGCTGACGATGCAACCAACCACTGCAGTCTTCAATCCAGTAACTCAATCTAATCCCACTTCTGACACCAGTTGGAACGTGATGCGTGTTAATATAGACGGGGACTGGATTGGTAGTCGCATTTATTAAAGTCTTAAACAACTCGTAACTAAAATTTACAGTTCATTATTACATGCTCTCTAGCGCACACAGTCACGTCTTCACTGTCATTGCTTGGCAGCAGCTTCCAACGGCTCACATTCGCTTTCCTCTGGGTTACCCAACCATCCCGGGCCTCATCTACCAGCTTCTAACTGCAAAAGGACACAACGAATGAACGCCAGCAGTTCTCAAAGAGTCGTGGCCTAACAACGGCTCTACATGTCACAATTTAATCGCCCTAGGTGTGTTTTTATTTTGTATAAATCGTAGAAATTTTGAAGCCCATCGGCGTTAATTTTTTCGAACACTTGTTAGCTCGTCTCTATTGCAACAAAATATCTTCTTGGGAAGTTTGTACTTTCATACATAGGAGTATGATTGATTTATTTGCGAAGGGTTGATGTTAATAAAGACATAAAATAATAAAAATAATAAAAATGAGCACAAACAATTATCGTTGCCTCCACTACAGAAAACTTTTTTTCCATTTTGTATGATTTTTCCTGCGTTTTGTTACTGAAGGAGAAATACCGGATGGAACACACCAGATATTATTTCAGCGATGCAAATTCGCAACAAATTATCCTAATTTGACTGCTAAGGGACGTCCGTCAGCAGCTGTACGTCTGTACGGCAAGAAGTGCATGCAGAACTAAACTATGATTTATGAATTTCTCTTAGCTTTCCTTGTAATATCTTATCGTCTAGTCCAACCAAATGAAAGTGTAAATAATTGGACGAGGAAACCAGTAGACACAAATTTACTCCTGTGGCAGTCTTAAGACGTATATATTTATATAATTTTTGAGCAGACAAGAATTACTGCGACACTGAACCACGTTTCGAGCTCTATCTATAATATTGCACATAACTGACTGCCGTGAAAAGTAACGGACACAGGGACAGGTTCTTCTCTCCCCCAAAACGCTCTTGCATTTCTTTTTACCGCCATGTCTAGAGCGGCCATGAGGTCCAACCAGTCTCCGACGCAAGGGCTGTATTTCGTGGTTAAAATCGTCCGAAATGTGATGTTCATCATGCACATGTTCTCAGGCCCGAAGCAGTGAGTGCTTATTTCCACGGCCCTGTAAAGACTCATAGAAGAGAACACAAACATAGAGACACTTATGCCTTAATCATTAATCTTTTCACTAAAGCGGTAATAACCTCTTTCTTGATCCTTTCTCGCAACGGCAATCAAAACTGCTCAGGTCTATTTAACATCATTTATAGCCTATCTATCTATGGCTCTACAATCCTTTGTTGGACCTTGGCCGCTTTTTCAGTTTCTTAATCCTATACGCAGTCGGTAGGACTCCTTGCTAAGCTTGCTAGCTGCACACAGGACAACACAAACGCAGAATAAACGCACACAGACACCAATGCCTTGAGTGGGATTCGAACGCATTATCCCAGCGTTCGAGCGAAGTTGGTTCATGCCTTAGATCGTCCGGCAACTGCGATCGGCATCATTTTAACCTACTTTCTTTATTTTGAGAAAATGAAAGAAGGCTTATGCGATCTCAATGTTGTCTGTGCCTATGAATCCCCTCCTTATTAACTTTTGAATGCCTGAACCAATTTTTATGAAACCTGGTATGTATATCATGGCACCTGAGCCCATCTCAACGGACTAATCCATAAATCTCTTCCATCAGTGTGTGTGTGTCTGTATGTATATCCCTCCCATCGTTGCTAGACAATGGTTCGGTGAAATGTATCCCTCTCTTATTGCTAGACAACGGCTCAGTAAAGACGTCCCCCTGGCAACGAATATGCACAACAATAGAACAATTGTTGGACGTCTATGTCTGTGGGTCTGTGTATCACCCTATCGTTGCTGGGAAAGAACTCGGTGAAGATGCTACCGCTGAAAAGACGAACTGTTGCAATCGTCATTTTCTGTGCGGTCCGTGTCATACCAAAGGAAAGTAGGTGAATACTTCTTCCTAGAACTTCTTGTAACTTTATCATTTTTTCAGGAAGCTTATTGATCCTGAGTCCTTTTTGTTTTACATCAGGCTAAAAAGAAAGATCTTAACGCTTCAGGCTGGAAGTCAGCTTATTTTGTGTATGATACTACATACTGTTACGAGAGTTACTCTTTGGAAACCTTTTTTCTGCGAGTTATTCAACTCAGCAGGAAGAAAAAAATATTTATAAATCTTGAAATGTATTGTAGGTCTATCAGTTTTGAATTAAGTTTGCCAGTAATGCAAAAAAAAAAAAGATATTTATTTTTATCCAAAGCGTAATATCTTTAATGTAGATGTTTGCTATGGGCAATAAGACAGAAGCCCTGTTTATTAAGTGTCCAAATTTGTTCCAGAACAGAACACGGTAACTCCTCGCTTAACGTTGTTCCAGTTAGCATCATTACGTAGGTACTGTCTTCATACCAAGGCTCCAAACAACTTATTGTTAACGCGCAAGTATGTCATCGTTCACATTGGAGTTTAAAAAAAACGTAGAAGGGGAGGTTACGCACCCAAACACGTGTCTAATGTTGAATAATGTAGATTATTCCGAATGTTAAATAAATATACATGTACCTTATAATTGCATATATTTATAGTTAATAATATACAAGGATTTACAAAAGCCTTCATATTGTCTATAGGCCTATTGTAACACATGTTATGGGGCGAAGAAAGGGCGAGGAACGTAACTCATTTAATTGTTAGATTTCTTGTAGTAAAAACAGTCCCTATAACAGGTCCTGAAGACCCACTGAGTTGTGAGACATCAAGGCTCGCAAAATTTCTCTTTCTTACAGTAAAAATGGATCCGCTTAACGTCGTTTCACATAACCTAACTGCTTAGAAGACCGTATCCACCGCATTACACGAGGACTTACTGTAGTTCGAGAATCACAAGCCAAATTCTCACAACATCCTAGAAAAATGGTACATAAATCCTCTTCTGCCTTCAGTGCTCAACATTTGCAATCCTGGAGGGAGCTGCTAGGCTTCTGTACTGGACGTATCAACTCAGTATGTAAGAGATTTTGTGTTCCTGTAGTGATAAAAACCAGGATCTCGGTATAATATTATTTACTTTCAAGGATGGTTATTAGCGTTCTATCTTAGATATATCCTGACAGTGGAGAAAATATGTTCCTCCAAAATACACATGAAGCTATTAATAATGTTATATTTTAGCGTCCTGTTGCACTGATTTATGTCCATGATTTATTCTGACTGTCTTACTGACCGTCTGACTCGCGTACTGAAATACGACATAAGGATGACAAATCCTGAACAGTTTTAACATTTTTAATATTTAAAATTTAGCAATATATATGACGAATATATATTTTAGTTATTTTAGTTTAAAGACAACAGGGCATGCACTGCAGTAGTTCGACGTACATCGAAAAGCACCTGAAGATGGAACTATAGTGCCGAAACATGTAGTGCAAGAGAGAAGAGTAAGGTGAATAAATGTATGCACTGTAAGACGGTCAGAATAAATCATGGATACACATGAAGCTACAAAATGGAATAAAGCAGAAGACAATCTGAAGACGGAAGAAAACTGAGACTACATAAGGTCATGGGTAACATTAAAAATCAGTTGCATCTGAAACACATCACGGCACAATCATCATAGAATTTTCATGTGAAAGTAACCTATATTAGCAGAGCTCTTTCTGCGTGTAGTGATAGACATTTCTGAGATGGGAAATACGTTCAACCCTTAATCCCCATTCACTATGCGGCCCTTAAATTTGACAAGCCTAAAACATGCAAATAAGCGAAACGCTATTTACTGTGTGTGTTCAGTAAGAATTTCCGATTAAAATGAACAAGTATTTTTTTTATTGCTAGTGGGGTGGGACTAAGTCCCTTGTACTGCGGCCACTTCTGGCCTATTGTACCAGCCCAAGATGATAGGTGAGGGTGATTGTGGAGCAATTGGTGGAATGAAGATTGGCAGGGGAAACCGAAGTGCTCGGATAAAACCTGCCCCAGCGCCACTTTGTCCACCACAAATCCCACTTGACCAGCCCCGGGATCGTACCCGGGCCGCCGCGGTGGGAAGCCAACGACTAACCGCTTGAGCTATGGCGCGGCCAACTGAACAAATAAGTCAGTTTCGGAAAGTTACACTCTGTCTGTGGCACCGTATATATGTAGTGTTAACCGACGTTTCGGAGGAACGTATCGCCTCCATCTTCAGGGTAGAAGAAAAAATATAAGAAATCTGCAAGCGAAGAGACCGTGAGAACCGGTAAAAGCAGATTTCTTATATTTTTTCTTCTACCCTGAAGATGGAGGCGATACGTTCCTCCGAAACGTCGATTAACACCACATATACACGGTGCCAAATCCCAGAAGACTGCTTTCTTCATAGTCACCGCCGTGAAAGCCTCAAATCTTACACTCTGTATATTGAAAGCGTTAGACGTACAGGTAACGAAACACGCCACACTGTTGCCGCTGGCGCCATCAAATGGTGGATCACTTGTAGTGCGTTTTAGCGTTATGATCACAACAGTTCTATAGCGAATGCTTTCTCCGTGGCATGCACCTTGAACCTACTACAATAAAAGCAAAGGGTATACCTTTCACCAGAACATCCTGATAACCTCTGGCGACAGCTATGGAGTTATTCCACAAGTCTGGATAAAAAAAACGCTTTTAAAAGTCCTGACATGGAATTCTTTTCAAGAAGTTCTAAAACGGAGAGCACATCAGTATGAAATAAATCTTCCTTGCGTGTGGCCGAAAGTGATGTCCATTCCACTTGACACAGCAATAGCAGACTGGAATGAGGTAGCGAGAAATATATTTCCGGAATTTCTACCATAAATTTGGAATTATGTGGGTTGAGAACTTTTTTTCTCTCTCGTAATTCAGAAAGAAATATTCTTACTAAGAATCATTTACAATCATTATATATTATTTTATGAAAAAATCTTCCAACGGAAAGTATAAGAAACTAGAATGGAAAGATGTAGTTCCTAATCCAATTGATTACACTCAGCTGTCATCGTTGAGATCCGACGCACCTCATTGGCCTTGGTGTTCATTTGTTGCAGACACATTTCAACAATTTCAATGAAACAAATACTATGTATAGCAAAAAATAATAATCACCCTCTCTTGAAATGCTTTAAATATTCACCGTATTAAGATACTGTGGCAGGATCCTGTGTTTCGTACAAAAGCTTTACATATTAATGAGAAAAGCGTTTTATGCACTTTGGATATTCTTACAGTGGTGAGTAAGAAGACGTCTCCCTCCTGGGATGTGAAGACGAATGTCCTGGTAAAGAGTTAACAAACGTTTCGGAGGAAGCTGCTGCCTCTGTCTTCGGGATAGAAGATAATATTCTTCATCCGTACTGTACTATGTCATGAGCGGATACCTTTTACAATAAGAAGTTTTAGATAAAAATAGAGCATGTGTGGCGGATGTGAGACCAATAAAAGCAAATGTTTTTGCAGATCGTAAGTGTTAAATGTTACCTAAAATTTTCATTAATTTAAAAGATTATGCATGCAGATATATCAAAGCCTCCGAACACGTTTCTCTTTTATGTAATTACTACAAACTTACTTACTTACTCATGGAAATGAGCCCTTCTTGACGAGCCTCCAAATTTTGCAGCTACTCAAGAATTTCCCAGCATTTTATGGAACCCGAAGGTTCATTACCGTGTTCACAAGAGCCCTCCACTATTCCTTATCCTGAGTCAGATAATCCAATCCATACCACCCCACCCTATCTATCTAAGATCCATTTTAATATTGTCCATCCACCTACGCCTTGTTCTTCCTAGTGGTCTCTTTCCTTCTGGCTTTCCCACCAATATCCTATATACATTCCTCTTCTCCATTCGTGCTACATGCGCTTTCCACCTCATCCTCCTTGACTTGATCATTCTAATTATACTTGGAGACAGACACCAAATGAAGATAAAACAAGAGAAGAATTGAAGTTTTCTGGATATTCTTATTAATTACTCCGTCCACACAATTTCTGGTCGCAAGAGCCTCATTGTATTTGCTATCTCGAACATTGTAATTGCGGGTTCGAGACAGGAGGTATTCATGTTTGTTTCATGTTGGTATATGCATTAGGATGGGGCCTAACTGGCCGACTAACAGATTACCTGCTAAATAAAATACAATTATACTTAAAGAAACGAATTAAAAATAAAATTACTAGGCAACATAACGTTAATAGATACTGTGTGCATATTATGAATGTGAATGTTTGCATTAACAAAGCCACTTCTAAGTATGGATACTGTCCCTCGTATCAATACAGCTAATCTGAAATTTAAGTTACCTATTTCTCCGAGAATCATTGTTCGATTTCATGAAACATCCGAATAATTATTAAAATTATTATTAATATTAATTGATAAAAAGCGTTTTTAAAGAAGAAAATGGTGCCAGTCTGTTTACCCAGGACTCTTACGTCCGTAGGTTTATTCTGGTTTCTAGTCTCCCAGTAATTAAACTTAGAAATCAACGGCGCCGATCACACGAGGACATCTCCATGCTCAGAGAGCGACGTGTTTAGATTAACACTGAATAAGCTTTATTTCTTAAAAATATATTAAAAAAAGCGAAAATTACGGCGTAAGTCTGCTTTATATACACTAAATTCGTGAGTATGAAGTTTCTAAAATGTAATATTGGCATTTGATGATATTCACATGACATTATTCATGCAACTCATTACGATCTACAAATTTAAATTTACACTTTTCATTTCAGGCTGATGCATGTACGGTACAGTTAACGGGACACGATATGTTGTAGGCGTCCGTTTAATGACTGTAGACCTGTTGGATGAAAAGCATCTCTGCGATACATTTTAGTGTAACCCTTACATATAAAATATCACTTAAATCGAGACGATGGAATTGGAGCAGAAGGGCATGCGTACGGACGGACTGACACGACTTCCAGACAAGGCGCCGTTCGCCTTGTGCATTACGTACAAAATAGTGGACTGTTTACTAGAGTCTCAAGTCCAGACATTACCCAAATGCATCCTTTGCAATTTCACATGCATCGCTGGTCTTTTTACTACTTTATTTCCGATACAAATATTGTAATTAGATAATTAAAGTATTGTCTTTCAAAATATGGCGGTCATAAGTTTGACATAATTTATAGGATATCTCTGAGAAAAAACATTGTTAGTTACGTTTTGCTTGTTCTAGTCTATCACAATTTATGTAAACTGATGTTTAATTCTTCAATGAATATTATATGGGCATTTATGCAATTTTTATCCTTTCAGTAAGATTTGCTGAACTAATTTCTTGGTGCAATTTTTTTCCTTGAAGGGTTCATAGTTATTCAGCTGGCCAATATATTCCCTTTTTTGGCACCCAGAAATTCAAAACAGTGTTCATAAAGCTCACAATTGAAAATGAGCCAATTTTTGTAGCTAACATTTTTACAGCCACTACTTCCAAGATGTGTCCTCGCACATACTCCTACGTCTCCAAGGTCGTCTCCTGATATGACGCCAAAATCGTTATGACCAGGGCCCGGATTTTGATGATATGTCATCTTTTTTCTCTTGTATGCTATTCGATGCGCGTAAATATGTATATCCCGGAGATGAGCTGCTGGGTACAGAAATGTAACTTTTATAGGTCATGTTTGGTCATATTTTTCGGTTTGGGGATAATTTAGTAAATTTTTGGACTTTTAAGAGTATTATTTGTCATTTTAGCTAATTTAGGGATTTTTTCTTCAGTTTTCAGAAATGTGAATAATATGAAAGTAAAGTGTTCTTTCTCTTTCTCCTGCCTCTACAAAGGCAGCATGCAGCTGCACCCCAAATACCTGCAACCACAGTATGCAATAATAAGTTCTAATAGTGTTCTGTCCTTTCCGTTCGTTTTGCGGAAAGTGCTGACATTACATATCATAAGACATATTAAGGTGGCAGCAGGTTATGACAGCAATCACTCACACTGCGGCCCTTTCCAGGTTCTGTGCAAAAGAATTTGCTTAGTTAGTTACAAATATTTCTAGTCG